CTGGCCTCCCCGGGGTGGAGGCAGCCCCGGTGGGGCGGTTTTTGGGGGATCAGCTAGGGTTTGGGGGTGACACTGGTTCCTCAGTGCCATTTTGAACCCCCTCGCCCAGGGATCACGGGGATCCTAATGAGTGCGGCCGGGCTGCCTGTCTGCCTGACACGGCCCCCCAAGCTGGTGCTGCACCCCCCGCCCGTCAGCAAAAGCGAGATCCAGTCCATCCCCGGCATCCTCCCCCCCCCCTGCCGCAAGACCACCAAGAAACAGGCCAAGAAGGGTGAGAGGCGCTTTGCCAATTGGCCCCTGTTCCCATCCCCCCTTCCCTCTCTCTCTGGTTGCCCTGTGCCCCCCGTCCGCTGCCCCCAGCAGCGGGTGTTCCCCGTGCTGCCCTCCAGCCCCTCTGACTCTTGCTCTCCCGCAGGTAAAACCCCGCAGGAGGTGCTGAAAAAATACCTGCAGAAGGTGCGGCATCCGCCAGATGAGGTGCGAGCCGCGGGGGTCGCGCTGGGGTGTCCCCGGGTGCTTTGCTCTGGGAGGAGTGACTGGGACACGGGCGATGCCCCCGTGCTGAGCCGGGGTCTCCTGCCGCCCCTCGTGGCTCTGCCCTCTCCCCATCCCCCTCTGAAGGGGGGCTGTGTGCTGATGCACGTGTTGGCCGGCCCTGTGGTGGCCCAGGGTGATGGCACGGCACCAGGGGCGGGTGCTGGTCCCTGGGCAAGAGCAGGGCAGCTCATCAGCCCCATGTCCTCGGCGAGGCTCTGGCTGCATCCGTCCATCGGACCTCTCTCCTCCCCTTCCGCGCAGGACTGCACCATCTGCATGGAGTGCCTCTCCGCACCCTCCGGCTACAAGGGACCCCAGCCGGCTGTCAAGCCCGACCTGGTGGGGAAGCTGGTGAAATGTGGACACATCTTCCACCTCCACTGCCTGGTCGCCATGTACAACAACGGCAACAAGGTGCAATGCTGCGGCCCCGGGGGATGCTGCGGCCGCTGGCTCCGCGGCCCCGCCCGAGCTTTTTTTTGAGCTCCACCTGCCCTCAGTGGGACGGTGCGCGAGTCCTGCCGCCCTGGGGGGCTCTGACCTTCCTGCCCTGACGGAGAGTTAAATTCTTGTCAGCAGCAAGCCCTTTGGGACCGCTAAATGAGAAACCAGGGTTGTGTGGGTGTTTTTTCCACCACTGTGCCCAGTTTTGCGTCCTTGCTTTCCTTCCCAGAGTTAGCAGCGGTGAACTTTGATCCCTGCGTGTTCGAGCAGAGCTACCCGGCATCTGGGGCCAGGCGGTGCTTGTCCAGCCGCAGGTGGCTTTCCTGAGGACCTTGCAAATGGCCCTTTGTGCTTGACATTCCCCAGAAAATGCGCTTCGCATTGCTTGGGGTTTTTCAATGTTTATTATCTTTCCCTTTGCGGGGGCGGGCAGGGACAAAAAAACCAAACCCACCCCGAAACAGAGGTAGGGACAGTAGCAAGGAC